AGAATTAAGGCAGGAGTCAGATTCTTTTCATGTGATCTCTTTCAAGTTTCAGCTTAACTACATTCCTCTGTATGATCATATTTGTTACTGCTGTTGGCTCTTTGAGCACCGAAGATGATTCATAAATCTGTATATATGAGAGCTAAAGTATCTGAGAATGTAAGCCTGTGAAGGCTTTTGTAACAATGCTATGGTTGCTAGAATACATACTATTAAAAATGCCTTTTGAGTATGCTTGAAACTTAATGTTATCTGGTATAACCTTAGTTGTGCTTTTGCTTCGGATAAAGCTTTATGCTTTAATCTTCACTTGCTTCTAGAAACCTAGAACATGATAAAATACAGAATATGACTTTAGCAATAAAATAAAACTTCCAGTCAATAAAACTCAGAATTTTCCTTAAAAAGGAAATTGAGGTTTAGAGATGTTCAATTATCTTCCTCAAAATATATGCCGGGCAAGTGCAGAGCAATCAAGTAACTCCAGGTCATAACTTTATCTGGATATAAATCATGCTACACCAGGATCTCTTCTGATTTTAGTCTTAGATTTAATTCTAGGTCTGTCTCAGGGAGGCACAATATACTATTATTTCCCTCAAAGAAGCTGAAAGAAAAAAAAATAAATAAAGGTTCTCAGTAAATTTTTCTTTTGGGGAACCAGCAGTTAGCGTAATGGCTATGTCACTGGACACCCACGTAGTCGACCGCGGTTTGTGTCCCGGACCCGATGGCTTAAACTCACACCGGGCGCATGTGCGTGCGTGCCCAGGATCCCGAGAGGAGAATGGAGGAGAAGGGATTGCGGCATGACTGGGGGGTGATTTCTCGCTTTCTGTCTCTATGTCTCTCTCTGTCTGTGTGGCGAGCGCACGCGCCCTATAGAGAATACATACTATTAAAAATGCCTTTTGAGTATGCTTGAAACTTAATGTTATCTGGTATAACCTTAGTTGTGCTTTTGCTTCGGATAAAGCTTTATGCTTTAATCTTCACTTGCTTCTAGAAACCTAGAACATGATAAAATACAGAATATGACTTTAGCAATAAAATAAAACTTCCAGTCAATAAAACTCAGAATTTTCCTTAAAAAGGAAATTGAGGTTTAGAGATGTTCAATTATCTTCCTCAAAATATATGCCGGGCAAGTGCAGAGCAATCAAGTAACTCCAGGTCATAACTTTATCTGGATATAAATCATGCTACACCAGGATCTCTTCTGATTTTAGTCTTAGATTTAATTCTAGGTCTGTCTCAGGGAGGCACAATATACTATTATTTCCCTCAAAGAAGCTGAAAGAAAAAAAAATAAATAAAGGTTCTCAGTAAATTTTTCTTTTGGGGAACCAGCAGTTAGCGTAATGGCTATGTCACTGGACACCCACGTAGTCGACCGCGGTTTGTGTCCCGGACCCGATGGCTTAAACTCACACCGGGCGCATGTGCGTGCGTGCCCAGGATCCCGAGAGGAGAATGGAGGAGAAGGGATTGCGGCATGACTGGGGGGTGATTTCTCGCTTTCTGTCTCTATGTCTCTCTCTGTCTGTGTGGCGAGCGCACGCGCCCTATAGCAAAAACCTCTCAAAAAAAATTTTTTTTGTCTAAAATGAGACATCACTTGAGAACCAAGTTCAGTGACCAAGTCTTTTTTGTTCATCACTTATAAATGGAACTTTGACCCGCAATCCAAATAACTCTACATTTGTTCTCCATGCTGATATAAATCACCAACCTACAACCATCTAGATCATGTTTCAAATGTTCTTGATCATCATTTTCTTAAACCTCTTTCAACTCCTTAATTAACATTTAATACCATGTTTGCATCAATCAATAAATTGTTTTTTAAAAATTTATTGTAATTTATGACCTACATATATCATTGTAGATCTTTGTACGGTACAGTATGGTTTTTAAAAGTATGTATATGGTGTAGTAAACAAATCAATAATATGAACCTATTCACCACTTTTAACATTACATTATGTTCTGAAGATTCGAAATTTGCTCTACTGGTTATTTTGGAAATATGTTCCAATTTGTTTTGGAAGATGTTTTTGAATGACATTCTTTACTATGATACTCAGTTCTAAAAAAAGCAAAGTGATTAAAAATCAGACAACAAAAATTCTCATCAATTAATGAAGTTGGATTTTGAAAACAAAGATAATCTTAACATAGCCAATGAAAGAAGAATTTGTCATTTCCATGCAGAGGACTGTGGGACATAAGAGCTTATGATCTGAAAAGATCTGTGGTATTAATCATTGGTCCAGGTAGAGGTAGGTAAAATTGTACGTAACAGCAGCTCATTAGGAAGAAATAGAAAACTTTTACTCACTCACTGTGCCTTCTTGTAAAATCATAAAACTGAACTGTGACTAAAGAAGTAAGTCTTAACAAAATTTGGAAGGAGATGTTAAAAGTGAAGACATGGTCAAGTCAGTGATTTGGTGATGGCTAGGCTTTACAAAGTTCAGACATACTGATAATAACATTGAATGTCAGGGTTAAATTTCCCAACTGAAAGGCTAAAAATGCAGATTCAACTGTTTTACACACAAGAAAGTTTAAGTAGAAACTTACCAATTATTTGATAGCTGTTTTCACAGGTTTCAGTTTATATATTTATTATAATAATTACTCATTGTATAAAACTAGATAACAGAGGAGAAATCCAAACTGTTACAAGTAGCCGATTAATGTATCTTTACTGTTTATATTTTCCTCTAGATAGAAAGGGAAGTCATCAGTCCCATCCCAGGTGGCACCTGGTGCTTCCCCAAATGCCTACTATTTTGTAACAACTGAACGGTTTGTCGTTGATATTATTACTTTTTTAATTTAAATGTATTTGTTTACATTCATTCACTGTACATCATTACAGCATACAAAATGAGATTTTCCATCCAGAGTACACTGTATATTGTCTCAATCAAGCACATCAACATACATGTTATTGTCAACAAATGATTTTCCATTTCTTGTTTCCTGTATGTTTTACTTTTTTCCCCCCATCCTTGATTCCCTATCTCTTACCCTCAGCCATCTCCTACTCTTTTCCCACACTGTCTCTAGTATCTATGTTTACTTTCTATACTGTTCCCCCCCATTTTTAATTGAATTACTAAATATCTTAATTAATCTAAATATTTTCATAGCAAACACAGCTGATATATACATTTCCATGAACACTAACTTTAGGCATCCTATAAAGTATCACCTAGCTGGGGCTATATATCTTACTGCGGTCATCGAATGGATTTTTTTTTTCTGAAACTTTTCTTTTTTTTGTAACTTAATTTACATTCTTTCCCTAAGCATCATCACAGCATACAAAATGTGATTTCCCATCCAGAATATACTGCATAGCGACTTAATCATGCATATTATTATCCAAAATTTTCCATTTATAGTTCCTAGAATTTTTTACCCCTCCTTCTGACCCTCTGTCCTTTCCCACCCTCTTCTCACACTATCTCTGGTGTCTACAATTGTCTTCCATTCCTTTCCCACGAACATTGTATAGATCACACAGTTTCATACATAATCTAACTACTTTCAATGGTGAGTTCACTCATTACTACTAAGAAAACCAGTTTTAACTTAAATCAAAGAAATACCAAGGAATGAGGTGAGGAGAGGTCTGGAAATCTGGCAGTTTCCAAGGCAGAAAAAACTGTAGGGAGTTCACATTAAAGTCAGAGATTTGGGCCTTCATCTCCTTACAAGCACCCGCACCAACCTTGAGGCACTCTCAGGTGAAGGTAGATGCGTGAGGTGCAGCTGGCGTGGTGGTTACGATGCCGAGCTCCCAACGACCAGCTCTGGTCTAAGTCCCAGACCCAGCAGCTTGACAATCACACTGGGCACAGGTACGCGCGCAAGATCCCAGGAGGGGAAAGGAGAAGGGACTGTAGCAGGGCCGTCACCCCTGAGGGTCTATTCTCACTTTCCCTCTCAGTCTTTCTTTCTTTCTGGAAAATGCACACACCCTCTGGGGAAAATAAAGCCTTAAAGAATTACAGTGAGCCATTTAATTTTGATCCAATTTATATGGGATCCCTACAGTTGTTTGAGTTAAGAGACCACAAGCAGAGCTGAGGCCGCCAGGACTGTGGGGCAGGGTGAGAAGCCGGTGTTTAATGGGCATAGGGTTGCAGCTAGGCGGACCTGAAGGTCTGGCGCTGGATGGCGGAATGGCTACCGTCTGAGATTCTATTTTCTGTATGATCTAGTCTGCTTTTAATACTTTCAAGGGAGGTTTTGACTTCCTGTATTATGAACTTCATTTCTAACAGTTCCGTTTGACTCTTTTGTAAAGCGTGTAATTCCTCTTTTAGATCTTGCAAGAATTTCCTCACCTCCTGGAACTCGTCAACTTCTTTCTCCTTTCTCTTTAGCAGTTCATTGTCTCTCTTCTCTTCTATCTCAGTTAGCTTTGCCATTATGAATGCTCTAAATTCCTTATCAGACATTTCCATGATTTGCATTGAACTGCTTGTGGGTGAAGAGGAGTTATTCTTTTCCCTTGGAGGAGAGGTATTTTCTTGCTTTCCCATACTTCTTGTGGTCCTGTGGTGATTTCTTGTCATCTGATGGATGGTGTGTTTCTTTCGAATTCTTGAAGTTCAATCATGCTAGCTTTGTTTGCTGGAGGCTGAATTATCTGCAGAAAATCTTCATTTCTCCTATCCCCTGAAATGACTAGTTTGCAGGAGTCATGAGGAATCCTCTTCTGAAGGAAGGCCTCAACTCTCCTGCCACACTAGCTTTGTTTGCTGGAGGCTGAATTATCTGTAGAAAATCTTCATTTCTCCTGTACCCTGAAATGACTAGTTTGCAGGAGCCATGAGGATCCTCTTCTGAAGGAACGACCTATGCAAATTCTGTTTGGAGACACACTTGTTGCCGATTTAGAGAATTTTCCAAGTAAGGAAACTGGGTGTACTCTGCTCCAATAAGTTGATGACTTTCTGTTTTCATTGCTATTATTTAAGGTTCTGAAGTCCGCCATGAAGGAAGAGATGGACTTAGCACAGACAAAATATTTTCTGTGTGACTTGTTCTCCACACCCACCTTACGTATGAGGATGATTTCTACAGCCTTTGTGAGGTAGGCTTTACATGGTGCATGAACATAGAATAGCAACACATAAATCTATTTATTATTTCAAAGAGTACAACATGTATTAGCACAGATTTTGATATAAAACATGAGAAAGTCATAGTGATAATGCATATTTGGAGGCTGTCAAAGGGTTATAGAAAGACCGACATGGAATTAATTATGTAACTATTATAAACAAAACCTTTTCTTTTTGTTTTTAGCTTTTGGCCATAAGGCACTGCACTTGCTGGAGGCAGAGAGAGGGAAAGTGAGAAATCACCCTCCAGGCCACACTACAATCCCCTCTTTTCACTCTTCCCTTGGGCTTTTAGACACCCATGTACACATGCCACATTCTGATTTTCAAGGCACATTCAGGACTCGAACTGAGGTGAGCCAGGTGGGAGTACAACACCTTAACCACCATGCCACCTCCTGGTCCCAACAAGTGTTTTGTTTTGTTTTGTTTTGTTTTGTTTTGTTTTTTCATGTCACCCTAAGGATCATCAACTGGAGACTAAGTATTTGAATTATGGCACAGATTTTAAGTTACTTCCTTTGTTTTCATTTTATTGAAATAATATACAAATAGTTAAGTGCTCAAATATATGCTGCTTGAATTAACATATCCATCTCACATAGTTATCCTCTCTCCACAGCAAGTCTCTAAAATCTACTCTCTAAGCAAATATCCTAAGTACAATATTATAAACTACAGAATAATATATTAAAACCTCATGCTGTATACTTCAAATATATATAGTAACAATGTACGCTGCTCAATGAAGATTTGTAAATACACAAATATGAAGCCAACACCTAAATCAAATAGAGAAAATGTTCTAAAAATCCAGAAGACCTCTCCACAAAAGCACTTCCTCCCAACTCTCTCTCTCTCTCTCTCTCACACACACACACACAAATTAAGACTATCATCATACAATATTTCCTTAATTTAAAAACCATTATGCAAAGAAGTATTCTACAAAACAATCTATGCTTTTATACTTTAATAGTAACCCCTGGCTTCCTGGGATAATATTATCATCATTTGAAGGACATAACCTCTAAAGTTTATGACATGTATCTTTCTTCTTTCGTTCACCACAGATTTTCAATCATAATGACTTATTATGGACTGGCTTTCCACATCCAGCACCTGGGAAGCAATATTTTCCTATTGCACTGTCTGTTTGGGGCAGTCAACCTTCCAGCCAGTTATGTTGCAAATTTAACACTGAATCACATGGGCCGTCGATCAACCCAGACCCTTTCCATGTTTCTACAGGGACTCTGCCTTCTGGTCATCATATTTATTCCTCAAGGTGAGAAAAGAGGACAGATTGAAGAAAAGAAATATCTTTCTCCCTTTTTCTGTCACTGTGCTGGTCACACCTGTCCGAAGACAGAAGGAAAGGGAGAGTTGAGTTCTAATGATTCTCCCAAATGAAACCAAGGATTTAGAACAGATTCTACTATTAGGTTGCTGAGAAAAAAAAAAAAAAAAAAGCCCATAAAAGTCAGTACAAATATATGACTCTTCATCACATCCAAAGAAGTACCTGAAAACTGGTGACATGTATTCTCGAGGACAACATTCAATCACTTGCCCTTCGGCCAATTTAACTTCCCACTGTGTATGACTCTACTCTGTCCATTATATATAACTATATCCTGTGTGAGGAAACAACATTGCCATTTCCTCTGTGTGGGATTCTTATTATTACAGCTTCAATTTACTAACAATTTACTTCCTGGTCTCTGTGTAGCCATTGTGTGTTCTGGGTTACACTGCTTTAGAAGAGTCATCTTAGCTTCAAGTAAATAAAAATTCTTTTGTCTTCGAGTAGAGCAGTTAACAACACAAGCATGAAGTGATTGTCAGTTAAGAGCCTTAGAACCTATTTTACTGGGGACACCAAGTGGCATGGTAGTTAAGGCACTGGATTCCCACATGGCTGACTACAGTTCAATCCCTGGACCTGGTAGCTTGCTTTCTCATGCTCCCTTTCTGGCTTGCTCTCTGTCTCTCTTTAGTCAAATGAAAGAATAATAGTAATGAGTACAATTAAATAGATCATTCTTAGAAAGAAAGAGGAAGGAAGGAAGGAAGGAAGGAAAGAAAGAAGGAAGGAAGGAAGGAAGGAAGGAAGGAAGGAAGGAAGGAGTGAAGGAAGGAAGGAAAAGAAAGAGGAAAGAATGCATTTTACTAAGTTAAATAATGTCAGTTAATAAATAAGGGAGCCCACGTGATCACCATGCCTCACCTGATTCCCATTTTACAGGATCCCAGACTAGTGAACTTTGCTGCTTCTCTCAAACATCAGCAACATCAGTTTGCTACCTTACAACAGAGCCCACTCTAATGTTCTAATGCTTTCATAAGATTTCTTTTCTTTTAATTGAGTAGAAAATTGACTCTGAAACTTCCTTTCAGAGGTTGACAGAGTCGAACATTTTTCTCCAGAAGTTTTTAGCTTGATTAGTCCACATTATTCTAAATCAGGCTATTCTTGAGCTTGTCTATTAACATAGGAGTCCTTTATTATTACTCTCTTCTATAGTTTTAGCCCTAGGTCAGTTGTTTTGGGACATAGGGTTTCGATTCCTTTAGGACACGGATGGCTCTTACACCTTTCAGTAAGGCTTAAGAGGAGAACTGGAAGAATAAATAAAAGCAAACTGCTGCTGGACTCGTGTTCTTTTCTCAATCTTTGGCAAATCTTTGAAATATGGAGACAGTAGATAAAATAGCTCAAGTTATTTTATTCGCTATTTAAACATAATTTGTAGTTAAGTCATATTTTTCACCTTACAGCCACTGCCTTTTCTCTTCCTCTGTTTTCTCTACACTGTATTTTACTCTACAAACAGCTCCAATGAAGTCTTTCTCACTTCAAATTTGGGGGATAGTGATTCCTTCAGCTCTGATTTTCTGAGTCTCATTGGTCTTCCTCTCTCTAGAAATGCAGATCCTGCGTGTGGTTATATCAACTCTCGGAGTAGGATTTTCCTTTGTAGCTGTCATTGGTTCCTTTGTCCATGGAAATGAACTGTTCCCTACTGTAATCAGGTACTAAATTTCATGGAAGCTTATTAGAGTCAAAACAGGCCTTTTCTAGCTAATTGAGACTTATAGAAAGAGCAAAACTAATATTGGCTAGTTATTAAAAATATCGATGGTAATACTATTAGTAATAATTAAAATTACAGTGTAAATTTATTGAAAACTGATTTTTTAAAAAGTTTTGATTTTATATATCTTTCATGAAAAAGAGATAAAGAGACAGGCATCCCCAACAGAGTCTTCATGCCGTGATTCAGCTCCAGCCTTAGCCAGCCTGAATCCTGGCTTTCACGTGGCTGACATGTATGGGGAAGCCTTATGACTTGAAACCAGGAACCTACTGTGGGTCCAGTGATCTGATTCCATCTGTTCTGAAAGCTGACATTTTGCTTTTAATGTATCATCTTATGTACTCTTATGAACCAAAGAGTGGGTATATTTTTTAATTAAAATGATAAAAATGTGTCTTAATGCCCTTGGACTTAAAAACTACTAGCAAGTAAGATAATATGTTTCATATGCAAGAGTATGTCGTCGCCTTACATGTCCACAAGTTCTCTGTTGTGGTATGTTCCATAATCGAAGTAAAATAATAAACCACAAAATACATATGTACATTTTTACCAGATGATTTTTATATTGTCTATGCTCCAAGGGCAACTGCTTTAGGAACTGCTGGAATTTTTAGTAGTCTTGGGGCAGCTGTGTCTCCCCTCCTCATGATTCTAAAGATATATTCTCCACTGCTGCCTTGGATTATCTATGGAATCTTATCCATCCTTGCTGGCCTTGTTATCCTCCTCCTTCCTGAAACCAGGAATCAACCTCTGCCTGATACCATCCAAGATGTGGAAAAAAAGTGAGTAAGCCCTCTAACTATCTTTAAAGGTTCTGTATGCTGTAGGTCTGTGATGAGGAAGACAAAACACCATTCAGGGCCGCTGAATGGTGGCCCTTCGTCAGGCTTAGACTTCGGCTGTTTCCATGCTGTCAGTGCCTTTGGTTTGGGTATAGCCGAATTCCTTCTCAAAATGATCTCAGGCATCCCCTGAGGCTTTATGTAGAGAGCATACAGACCAGCTCTGCTTTGTAGCTCTCATCAGTTTATTTACTTACTGCATCAATAGGTTTAAGTGGTAAAAAGGCCAAAATTAGGTCTCCTTTGCCTGCTATGCCCTAATGTGACACACACACAAGCGAATTTCATAAACATGCACAAATACAGATGAAAACACTCATCCCCGCAAACTCAGGCACCCTGTAGGCCAATGAGTGCTGGTGAGCTATCTGAGACTGTTGGCTTCTGTAGGCCTAAAGAGTGCCCTTTCAACAGATGACAATATATCTAAGGGAAGGAGTCCTGTTGTGTTGTCTGTGAGGTTCAGATCATCTATTTTCATTGGGAATGAATGTGTTCATGAAAAAGAAAAGAGAACTGGTAAATAAGGGGATTGTTAAATGCTGAAGATTTAGAGAGAGGATTTCTTTAAAATCTTTTTGTGTACTTCCCTTGTATTTTCCAAAGACTCCTTTGGGAAATATTCTAATGTCCAAAGATGAGAGATGAAACTATCAAGCTCCCTTTCTAGATCTTTTCTGGGAGGTTGGTCCTTGCAAGTTTTACTTGAATATTTGGGGGAAGGTTATGGTTTTAACCAAAATTAGGGCAAAGAATCAGCTTTCTCTGAAGAATGCAAGTACTGTCATGTTTGTGTTTATTTGTCAATAGTTTTCATTGTATTTGTCCTAGGAAAAAAGTCTCAAGAAATGCAAAGGAGGAAGATGCCTTCATTAAAGTGACACGGTTTTAAGAAATTCCAGGAAACAATCTCTGATCAGAGAACAAGATAAAGGAGAAACGTCAGTATCATTGCTAGAGACCAGCAAAATTAGGAATACAAATAAGTAGATATGATTTTTTAAAAAGGATCCCATTTACAATTGTAATACTTAAGTACTATATATAAAGTACCCAGGGTTAATTATAAAAAGTTTAAAGAAAGTCATAACACCTTAAAGAGAATCATGATAGAATACCTGTATAATTGTAGACAACCTATTTCTGAATAGGGAGATAAACTAGCTTTAAGTCATTTTTCCCATTCTAATGATAGATATACAGAAAGAGGAGAAAACGCATTTGTCGGTTCTATTAAATACTAATAGCTCCTACGGTACAGTTCTCTTATCACCTATCTGTAAAAATACCCTGGGTATTGACATACTATTTGGACATACGCTGCAAATGTTGGTAGGTGATTTTATCCTTAATCAGACTTGTTAAGGCAATTTTATGAAAAGAGGCAAAAAGGAAACCTTTACTTCCATCACCTAAGTTTATAGTAAAAATTACTATTCTGGAGGACTTAAAAAAATTATAGTCACTACTCAAGCACTGGAAAAGGCAAATGTAATCAGGTCTACACAGAGCCCTTTCAACAGCCCTTTGTGGCCATTAGGAAAAACAAAACAACAAAACCTGACAGCACCTGGCATATGACAGTGGACTACTGAGAATTAAATAAAGTGGCTCCTAACATTCATACAGAGGACATTAGTGGGAAACGGATATGGCTATTACCTGTTGACGATGACATGTATAGTATTCTCAACTGGATTGGTCTGAGAAATATTTCATGATGGGTAAAGTCTTTTTACAAGCAAAATGAGAAAAGTGATTGTTTAAAAAATAATTGGAATAATAATAACGATTGGGAAAAACAATGAAAAGATATTGAATGATGAATTGGGAAGATTAATGTCTCTGTGCTGACTGACATGCATGGCATTCCCTTTTGAAAAAGCAATGTAATACACTGTAAAGTTATATGCAATCCAATGTAATATAAACAGGATTATGATGCTAATAAAAAAAATTTAATAATAAATAAATAAGTAAATGCCATCCTTACTTAAATTAAAACAAAATAGAATCCTGAATATAAAAACTGACTTTCAGTAACTCAAGTTTGCTTCAGTTGAAATTATAGCAATAACAGTGATTTTAAGATTCTTTTTTAAAGTAGGGGTAAGGGAGGGAGTCCAGTCGTTGCCTTGGTTGGACGTGGCCGTGTGCCCCTCCTGACTGCTCACTACACTCTGGTCATTCTGGACCGCTGCGCACCAGCAGGATGGCTTACAAGCAGATCTACCACTTGGACAGTACTTCAATGAGCACTACCAGTACCTGCAGTCATGGTACCCCAGAGAACTTACCAGACAAGTGCCAAAGACCCATCTGATATTTGAAGAGGAGTGATCAGGAGATTTGGCGTCCAACAGAATCTAGGTTGGGTTCATTACATGATTCATGAGACAGAACTGCATAGTCTTCTCTTTAGATGGCCTCTTCTAAAAGATAAACAAAATGAAGTATATCTGGGGATCGTTGACTTTTTCAAATTGAGTGTGTATGTGTACGCCTATAAGGCAGTATTCAGCGAATACTTGAACAAAGTACAAATTCCTCCATACCTGTGTGAGAGCTGTGTTCTTCAACAGCAGCAGAGCTCAGTTAAATGCAACTGCAAGTACTGTAAGGAATGGGAGATAAAATTCTAGTCACTTTTTTTTTTTTAGTATAAGTGCCTGTTTGATTTTCCAGTCACTTTTGTTAAATAAAGTTGTATGTTGCATTTATCACTTTTTGAAGTTATTGAAGTATATTTTCTGTTTGTGGATATTGAGAGTTTGCTTTCAAGTTTATACTTTTAGACCTGAGGAAATAAATCCACTTGAAGAAAAAAGAAAGGAGAGGGAATATTTTTGACAGGATTTTGCCACATCACAGTCACCTGCCCCAGCCTTCCAACTAGCTGGGGTCATAGGCATGCGCCACCACACCTGGATGATTTACGTTAGGCTGGGAACTGAACCCAGGCCTCCCATGTGGCATCAGCCATAATGTACCATCACCTTCCCATTTGCATCAACATGACTGAACCAGGTATTAAGATCTTTGAAAGAGGGAAATAAGGATAAAGAGCAGGGAGGAAGGAAATTACATTTTTATGAAAGTTTACCCAAAAAAAGGGTTTATTTTGCTAGATTTATTGATGCATTCAAATAGCATTCTGGGGATTGCAGTGGTTAATTTTGGGTGTCAATTGACTGGACTAAGGAATACCTAGAAATCTGAGAACACTTTATTCTGGGTGTTTGTGAGTCTGAGTAGACTAGATGTGGAAGATCTGGTAGGCACAATCCAATCAACATGGGGCCAGGAGAAAACACATACAGATGATGGGTGAGTCTTTTGAGAGAGAGTAGGGCAGATATCAGAACTCAGGGCAGTTCCCTTTACAATCCAGGATTCACACCAATGGCTCCTTTGGGGTCTCAGGCTTTTGGCCTTAGAGTATAGTAACATCATTAGCTTCCTTGCCTCTGAGACTTTTGGACTTGGGCTGAGACATTGTGCCAGCATCCCAGGATTTCCAGCTTGCAGACAGCCCTACTGTAGGATTTCTCAGCCACAGCAAGTATGTTAGCATATTCTCCTAAAAAATTCCCTTTCATATATCTCTGCATATTCTTTTGGTTGTGTCTCCCTAGAGAACCCTAATACAGGAGTCAATCTAGGAGAACAGATTTTTTTTTTTAAAAGAGACACCACATTAGCATAGCTTATTATTACAGTATATTGATATAATTCTATATCATTATTGGTTATTATTGTTACTATCTTACTGTGCCTAGTTTATAAATTAAATTTTATCATAGGTATGTATGTTTAGGAGAAACACAGTATATATAGAGTTAGATACTATCCATGGTTTCAGGCCTCCATGGGAAGTCTAGGAACGTATCCCCTGCATGTGAGAGTGGACTGCCATACTAAGTGTAACACATAAGCAATGCTATGTTGAATTTCTTAGTATATAAAATTATGACACTCTTCTAAAATACTAATTTTATTTTAAAGCACAATTTGCTCTCTACAAACCACAAGACAATTTTTTGAAATCCCTGTTGTTTGAATTGCTAAACAAACTGCGTTTGTCAAAATGACTGGCTCTTTCACCAAATAAAAGCAAAGCTGAGGAACACAGAACTGGCAGAAAATCGAGGAGTGAGTGGTTCTTGATGGAAATGTGGGGTTTGGGAAGGCAGCAATCATCTCTAAATTGATGGCACTTGGCTGCCACAGAAGCTCCATGAGGCAAATTGCCACCAACAGCCCCAGATTATCACCTAAAAATATGTCCATGTCTAGTTTATTACGTTACTATAAGATAGGTGGAGAAAATTTCTGTTTGAGAAGACATCAATTACTAATTTTCCTCAAGTTGTTCTAGCTGCTATATCTATCTGGTTGGTAGGAAACAAAATTTTAAGGGTGAATTTCATTACTTGGTTTTGGGGTTTCTGGAATTGGCTCTCTAATCCAATTCAACCTAAAAATGCTAAAGATTCTATTTCTACTTTTTATTCCTTTTTTTTTTTTTTTTAAATTTTGTTACAGGACACATGCACTCACCAGAGAGAGGGAAAGTGAGAAATCATCCCGGGAAGATAGTCACACTGCAATCCCTTTTCCTCTAGTCCCCTCTCAAGATTTTGAGCACACATGATTTTTTTTTTTTTGAGAGGTTTTTGCTATAGGGCGTGTGCACTCTCCAGACAGACAGAGAGAGAGAAAGCA